GGCCCAACCGTCAGGGTTCTCCGTGGATCCGCGGCCCGCGTGACTGGAGCCGCCCACACGACCCGGGTCATTTTCCCTAGGCGGACCGACCTGAGGCCCCCGCTGACCCGGATCATCTTCTCCTCGCCGACCCGTGGCCACTGGAACCGCCCACACTGACCCGGGACTTCACGCCGACCTGGGGTCGGCCCGTTGACCGGAGTCATTACCCTCACGCTGACCAAGGCCGCGGCCCCGCCGTCATTCCCGCGCAGGTAGGTGCACCGCACAGGTAGGTGCTCCCGCGCAGGTTAGGTGCCCCGCGCAGGTTAGGTGCCTCCGCGCAGGTTAGGTGCCCCGCGCAGGTAGGTGCCCCGCGCAGGTTAGGTGCCCCGCGCAGGTTAGGTGCCTCCGCGCAGGTTAGGTGCCCCGCGCAGGTTAGGTGCCCCGCGCAGGTTAGGTGCCCCGCGCAGGTATGTGCCCCGCGCAGGTAGGTGCCCCACGCAGGTTAGGTGCCTCCGCGCAGGTTAGGTGCCCCCATGCAGGTAGGTGTCCCGCGCAGGTTAGGTGCCCCGCGCAGGTAGGTGCCCCGCGCAGGTTAGCTGCCCCAGGGCAGGTTAGGTGCCTCTGCGCAGGTAGGTGCCCCGCGCAGGTAGGTGCCCCGCGCAGGTTAGCTGCCCCAGCGCAGGTTAGGTGCCCCGCGCAGGGTAGGTGCCGCCCCCGCGCAGGGTAGGTGCCACCCCCGCGCAGGTAGGTGCTCCCGCGCAGGTTAGGTGCCCCTTTAAGGTTAGATGCCCCCGTGCAGGTAGGTGCAGGCCCCCTGACCGCGGCCGCCCGCGCAGTGAGACGTCTCCTGGCCTCGAGGCAGGTCTTGGACGGGTCGAAGCGCCGCAGGAACGGCCCCCTCCCTGCCGACTCCCAGACGGCGGCTGGTTGAGCTGCGTGGGTGGAGGCGGAGGACCGAGGTGCTGGGAAACCGCGCGGACGCCGGGTGGTGGGGAGCTCCGGTGAGGGAGACAGGGCCGCAGGGGGAAATTACAGACTAGTGGTCCGGACCGTGCGCGCACGGACTTGACCTCGGAAGAGCAGGAGCCAGTGAGAGGGTCACTCTGTTTTTGTAGACGGCAGATCCGGGCGGAGCCGACCCTGGACCCTCATCCACACTGCGTTTTCACTTCTCATTAGTGAAGTTGTTAAGGTAACATCCCCTCTCGGTGACCATTGAAGGACGCGGTGCCTGTAAATCGCTAGGAAAGTCGAGATCGGAGTGAGAGTGTGCAGGAGTTGGACTTGAGGTCCGCTGAGGAGCTGGCAGGGCCGGGTCCTCACCTGGCCCCGACCTCACACTCCTTTCTAGGACTCAGCTCCTGCCCAGCCTCTCCAGTTCTCCCCTAGAGGCACTGGCCTCCTAGTTCCTCAGCTCGTAGGAGAGCCCAACTCCTTCCCAGCCCTGCCTGCGATCCTTCATCCTTCCCATAAGCCGATTTTTTTTTAAAGCAAAGGTTTTTGAAATGAAAAAAAATTCAGTATTTAAGTCTGTAAATCTAAGCACATCCAGTATTTTAGTAATGTTGCCCTTTGTTGGATTTTTGTTTAGTGAAGTTTTAATCACACAAAAAGAATACAGCTATGACGGTTGTACCATATGCTGAAGAAAAACAAATAATAATATTTCTGTATGCTTCTGGACTTTTTTTTAAGGAAATGTGATATTTGAGCTACAATTGAAATTCTTTTTTGCTGCCATCACCTCTTCACTCCCCACCCCATAGGACGTCTTCCATCTGACCTGTCTTCCATGGGCTCAGGGGACATCCCTGTGCTCCCAGAAGCTGCGCATCCTCCCTTCTCATCCCAGCCCGCTGCCAGCTTTGCTTCCTAGAGCCCCTCGTGGGGGTTGTGGCTCCACCTTGGTCCTGTCCTGCCCCTGTGGCATTTGTTTTCTTAAGCCGGCCTTCTCTTCGCCCTCCCAGTGCCTGTGGGTGCCCTCCCAGCAGGCCGTCACCAGATGATGAGCTGTGCCGTCTGGCCTGGATTGGGCCACTGTTCCTGCCCTGTGCTGCACTGTCTTTACCCGGGATAAACTGCTTCCCTTCTTCTCAGGGGCAGTCACACCTGTCCCAGGCCTACAGGAGAAAGTGGCATTCCATACTGTAGCTTATGAGATGAGATTGTGGAAATTCACAGTGACAGCTTCCATCTCTGGGCGTCAGGCTCTTTAACCGCGTGCGCGGCATGCAGTCTTGTGCCGCCTGCGCGGTGGTGCCCAAGTTGGGGTGGCCCGTGTAGCAGGAGCGACTGAGGCTGGGTGGGGCCTCGCATTGGCATCGGCACACACCTGGGTGGTCTCCCCACAGAGCAGCAGGATGTCCTTTGCAGGGCAGCATGCACGGTGACATTCACACAGGCCTCTTCACCCTTCCTGCCCTGCAGCCCAGCGCCCTCGGGTGCAGGGAGCACCTGGGCGGAGGCCTCCTCCTGTGGACCAGAGATGGCGTCCGTGGACTTCAAGACCTACGTGGACCAGGCCTGCCGCGCGGCGGAGGAGTTCGTGAACGTGTACTACAGCACTATGGACAAGCGGCGGCGCCTGCTGTCCCGCCTGTACTTGGGCACGGCCACCCTGGTGTGGAACGGGAACGCCGTCTCTGGACAGGAGTCCTTGAGTGAGTTTTTTGAGATGCTGCCTTCCAGCGAGTTCCAGATCAACGTGGTGGACTGCCAGCCCGTTCACGACGAAGCCACCCCGAGCCAGACCACCGTCCTTGTGGTGATCTGTGGGACGGTGAAATTCGAGGGCAACAAACAGCGGGACTTCAACCAGAACTTCATTCTGACCGCCCAGGCCTCGCCAGGCAACACGGTGTGGAAGATCGCCAGTGACTGCTTCCGCTTCCAGGACTGGGCGTGCTAGTGGGGACAGGGCGACACCCCCAGCCTGCACTCTGCCCTCGCCCGAGTCCAGGGGCCCCTTTCTGGGCACGTGCGTGTTTGTCATAGATGCCTTTTCAAAATAGTAAGATTCTCTATTTTTCTACTTGCCCAGTAGAGACCCTGGTTCTGGAAATTCTGATGAATAAAACAGTGAGTGTTGCTTCTTCCTCTCTCCTGGTGTGTCCGGGAGGTTGTGGGCGGGAGGAGGAGGTGTGCAGGCAGCAGTCCCAGCAGAAGGCATTGCAGACCGAGGCTGAGATCCAGGGTGGAGCACCTCGCGGAGGCCCAGGGGCGCCCCCGGGGGCACAGAGCCGGCTCACGGCCCCTCACACTGGAATCCCTCGAGGCACTCTGAAACACCAGGCCCCTACACCGACTGGCATGAGGGCGCCTGCCCCCTCCCCCCAGGCCAGAGCCGCTCCATCTGCTGCGTTATTAAAGGGAAACACCTGTGCCCGTGGTGATGGTTGACTGCAGGGCTGTGTGGGGCGGGCCCCGGCCGCCAGTTTCCCTGGTAACTGATGAGCCAACCTGATGTCAGTTCTCCTGTAAATGGGCGCCGCCTCCCCCCGCCGGCTGCGGCACACAGTGGAGTGTCCCTCTAGGACCTCGCGTCAGACATGTAAGCACCCCTGTCCACTAAGCCCCTGACATCGCAGTCACTGCCTCCGGCCCCTGTGGTCCCTTGGCTGGGCATCCACAGGGCTTGCCGGCCTGCGGGGCACTGCCCAGCAGAGGCTGATTCGGCAGGAGCTGCTGCTGGACTTCAGGCTCAGAAGCCCCCTGTGAGGGGTGGGGTGGGATGCCCCCTTCTCATCTCGGGCCTGGGTGGGAGGCAAGTCCCACCAGGACTCGGCTCAGAGCGAAGTCCCTGGGGCCTGAAGGGCTGCCTAAGAAGCTTCAGGCCAGCAGCTGTGGGCGTCCCTGAGGGCAGGAGGGAAGTCAGAGTGCAGACCTCCAGGGGCTCCTCGTGTCCACCAGGCCCTCCTTCCGGACTAGAAGGAGGGTTTGCAGTCGGGAGAGCTGTCAGATGAAAGACCGCCTCCCCCAGACCACCGAGCTAGCCTGGCTCTGCGACTCCGACGGAGGAGGACAGGCTGGGCAGGGGAAAGACTTGGGGGAGCCAGCCTCTCTGTGCTCCTTGTCTTCTGTTATTTGGAAAGCAGGTGAGAGGGTAGATGTTCTGGCAGCCCTTTTGGGCTGTGAGCCCCATTGGGCCACATGAAAGGGACGGAGGAAAGGAAAGCAGGTCAACCTCAGGGAGTCCCCACCAGCCTTTGGTGACCACCCTCACCCCCAGCTTCTCTCAGGGGAGTAAGAAGCACGTCCACCTGACTGAAGCCGCTGCTGTCTGGGGGCCTGTTTACAATCAGTGCCAAGATGGAGGAAAGAGTGTGAAACAGGACAGGACTCTCTCCTTCCTGTGTAAGGCGCCCTTACACACCAGTGGGAGAAATCAGACAAAAAGGGCAACAGAACAAGAAAATGGGAAACCACAAAAATATGCATGGAGGTGGAGCGGGAGAAAGGGAGGCGACGCGGCACTAGCGAGTCACGGTAGTGGAAGCAGGCGCGGTGTTAGCCGTGGACACGGGCCTCCAGCTGTTACCCACCAGGGTCCCTGGACTCCTTAGTCAATAGAAGTTGACAAGAGGCCGGGCGAGGGATTCAGGCGAGGCTTTCCTGGGGCCCGTGCCGCAGCAGACGGAGTGAGAACAAGTGACAGGCGCCCCTGCTCGCTCCCCGGGGTCAGGGGCAAGTGAGCTGGTCCTTAAATGGGGGCGGGTGGGGACAGGTCCAGGGCTCGTGCGGGAGGGGTGGCTCAGGTGGTCGGCACCACCAAGGGGTGCACAGGGATCACGCCCAGCACCACAGAAGTGGCAGTTGGGTTCTTGGTCTTCCTGTATCTTGTTCACAGTGGGCCCCAGCTGCACATGCACGCAGTTATTTTTAGTCCCTTGTAGTTCCTTTGTGTTCTGTTTCTCCAGGGGAGTCTGTCCAGGTGCGGGCCCTGCAGCCAGGGGTCCCGGGTCCCAGCCTGTCTCACATCCAGTCCTCCCCGGTGGGTATCATCTAACTGATGGCAGAAGGTACCATCGCCCAGCAGACTGGCCAAGGCCAGGAAACCCCAATCTCCCCAGCAGATTGGGACCTCGGGGGCAACTGGTCTGCACGATGGGAGATGGTGGGAAGTGGGGTCGGGCATTTGGGGGAGCAATTTCCTGGGAGAAAGCGGGGAAGGGGTGAGGTGCCCCCAGCAGGGGAGGGGGTGAGATGCCGCGTCCCTGCCTCTAGCCCAGAGAGAAGGGGCGTTAACAGGATCTGCTGAGCCTGACGGGCCCCCACTGGACACAGCCTGCAGGGACCACTGTCCCCGGGCTGTGCGTCCCCGGGGCAGGCTGGGCAGGGTGGGTCCTGCTGCCGTGTCGGGAGGGCTCCCACTCCCTATGACAGAGCAGAGGGGCCTGACCCCAGGGACCAGATGGAGAGTTGCGGGACAGAGAACTGCTGTACCGGGGCAGCTTGTGCTTAGGGGAAGCCCGGGTTGGTTTCCTGGGCTGAGACGCAGGCCTGAGTGAGGAGCCTGGCCTGAGGGGTCTCTTGGGTGCTGGGTGACTGGGCCCCTGGGAGAGGCTGAGAAGCAGGTGGACAGATTCTCAAGGGCTCCTGGAGCTGCTCAGGGAGCGAGAGCCCCCCAGAGCAAGAGGTCTTGTTCTAAAGCCGGAAGATCTCAGCAGTGTTGGGGCCTCAGAAAGCCCACTCAGGTGGCCCAGGAGAGAAGGCCCCAGGTTGAGGGACAGCCAACTCCTCCCCTCCAAAGGCTCACGGCTAAGAAACTCGGGTGACAGAGGGCGCAGGGGCCAGGAGGGCGCCGGCCCGGCTGAGGGGTCCAGGCATTCAGCCTCCCCTCGGCGTGCGGGGCTCTGGGGGATGTGGGTGAATGCAGGCCTTTCCCGTCTGCCAGTGAGCGCCAGGCGTCAGCAGGGCACCCTCGAAGAGCTCATCAGACAGCACTTGATCTGTGGGTCGCTGCCTGGCGGACCGACCGCCCTGGTCTGCCCAGGGCTGGGGGTTCCTGGATGGGTTTTTAAAGCTAAGATCGAGAAAGGCCCAGGAAAACTGGGCGGTCACCCTACTTCAGCCGAGTTTATGCTGCAGACCAGTCGACTCTCAACAGCATGGTGGCCTCTGGAAACAGGGAAGGAGGGGCGTGTGGCAGGACCACTAGTGCTGGGAGCAGGCGCAGCAGGCTGTCCCACTGGGCCCGGTGGGCGGACGTGCCCCCAGCCACACGGGACCCGCTGAGCACTTGAAATGTGGCTCCTGTGACTGGGTGCTGGGCTTATACGTCGTTCTAGTTAACTGAAGTCAGAACAGCCACAGGGGGCATTGGTTCCTACTGTTGCGGTGCAGAGATGAAGGAGGATGCTGGTCCGGAGCCTGGCAGTCACAGGGGACACCAGCGCCTTTTCAGCTGGAATGTGTCTCTGAAGCGACCAGGTTGATGTGAAGTGCAGACCCCGACGCCTGTTGGGCTCCACAAAGGCGAGGCCGGAAAGACCCTGGTCCTCGACGCCCCGATAGCGTCAGGGCCTCCCCTGCTTCTTCCCTGAAATGAGGCACCGCGTGGGCTTGCGGCTGCCCTGAAGCAAACGCGGGGGAGCTCAGACCCAGGCGTGAAGAGCGCCCCAGCCAGGCCACCAAGGCCACTCTCTCTTGCTGGTGAGCTGCCACCTCCCGCTTCCAGGCGGAAGGTGAGCCAGGTGGCCGCCCAGTCTCGTTCTCCCTGACTTGGCGCGAGCACTGTCCTCCAGCAGGCCCGGTGGGGGTGGAAAGGGTGAGGCTTCCCCTGCACCTCCCGCTTGAGCCTGAAGACGAACTGTTTCAGTTTCCCTAAGGAATGGTGTGCAGGTGAGTGTGTGCGCCTGCGTGTGCGCTCCCATGCCACTGTGGCCCCTGGGGTCCCCCCAGGTGTGCCCTACCCCAAACACTCCTCCATCACCCCCAACCAAATGCACAAGCCTGCACAAGTGGTGTTTTTATTCAGGATTTCAGAACCAGGGCCTTCTACATGGCAAAGCAAACAGGTGGGTCGGGGGACCGATCGTGATGTCAGCAGTCCTGCTGCCGGGATTCAGGTGGCCCAGCAGCCCCACCCGCTGTCAGGAAAACCTGCAGACCACATGGAAGGCGCTCCCGCAACCCCACCGCCACCCTGCAACCTAGAGCGACCCTGCCAAACCTCCCGTCCACACGGTCAGACCAGGGATCCTTCAGAGTGAAGGTATGCTGGGCGGCCTCCCGCTTCTGGGTGCTTGGAGGCTGGCAGTGGACTGCACTGACATGGAATGAGCTGGAAGGCAGGCAGCGGGAAACCTGGTTCAGGGCCTTCTGCCCCACATCAGCGGGGGCTCCTCCACACAGCAGGGTGGCTTCTCATCCGTGCTGGGCGGTACACACTGGCCAGCTCGGCAGCCCTGCACGCCGGCTCATGGCATTTCCTGAAACACAACAAAATGTCACACTCTTGGCCTGGATGAAGTGGCGGAAAAGCTTCCATCTCAGGACCCGGGGAGCTGCAAGCTCAGAGGGGAGCAGAACTGCAGGCCCCGGAGACTCACCCCAGTTCCAGACGCGCCCCAGGGACCCGCTAGAGCAGGACAACCACCTGGGCACTGGCAAGGGATGCAGGCTCTCAAACCAACTGTACACGCGGTCCTGATTCCTAGTAAGGCTGGAGGGCCACCGCTTTAGAGGAACAGCCTCCTCTTCTGTCGCTGGAAGACTGTGACGTCGGAGGAGCATGCAGGTCAACCCCTGGGCGTTGCGGAGGCAGGAACTGGGCTGAGATTTCAGCCACTGCTCAGTGTCTGCAAGCCTCACGTTCCTCGTCTGCACAGTGGGAGGAGTATCACACCTGGGAAGCCTGAGTGCAGGGTCAGGCCAGAGCCTGCTGCGTGGATCATGATCAACTCAAGACAGGAGGATCAATGTGCACCTTTCAAGCTTGGAATAGACCACATTCAGAAGCTTCTGCACACAGGACAAAGATAACTTCTGAACCAGATAAGAGTCTATAGGTCAGTAAGGCTTAGCAAAGTGGAGACTCGGGAAAGGATTCTAGCACACACACTGCAGAGGTGCACGTGGCCTCGCTACCGGACA